TTTACATTTCGCGAAAAATAATTTTTGTTTTCTTAAAAAAAAGATTATATAGATTGATAAAATAGGGTATGACGAACTCCTTAAATAAGTTTTGTAACACTACGATTTCTTAATCTCAAGAAATTGCAATTTTAAGATTTGCATTCAGGTGATGCAATTCTTTTGACCGCCACTGTATCATGCTTTGGTGCTTGATGACACTGTCAAACAAGTCAAATAAATTATATCAATTCTGGAAATCAATGATTGAATCTTCTGAATTATTTTACTGGCAAAATTGGGAAGACTTTAATATTAGATTTTTGGCATTAAAATTTTGTTTACTCTCTGTTTATGGCTATAAAGAAATTAACGGATGTGATTTTTTAAAAGGTGCTTATTGTGGTGATATGCTTAAAGACATTATCATAAAGATTCCGGAATGGAATACTATTGTAGTTCATTTTATAAAAGAAAGGTTTCCAACAAATAGTACTTGGACAGTCACAGATCTATATCTAATGAAAAGCTTTTAATAAAGGAGAAAAGTCTTGCAGTTTACAAAAATGGAGAGTCAGCACCATTTGATGGGTTTAGTTATATTCAACTTAAAACTACCAACAGCAAGGATGTAATTATGGCTTGCTTACAGGCTAAATGGAGAAAATTAGAAACTGCACAACCTCAGAAGATTACGGATAGTATGATTAAAAAAGAATATGATTCTACAAAAAAGGCACTTGCTGATAACCTTACAAATGATGACTTCATTTTTGTTTTATTATCGATATGTCCATTGAGTAATGAAATAGATAATCCCTCTACTTTATTAAAAGATTTCAAAAATGCCGCTTTAATATGCAAGAACAATTTTCGTACCTTTTATGGTTTTACTTATGCAACACGGGCTCATTTAGCTGCAGGTTGATTTCTTTTTGACTTTTCTTCAAATAACTGAACAAACTTTGATTTATTTATTCTAACAATAGAACAAGAAAAAGTTAATATTAATACAGCTGATATTTGGGAATTAAGATTAATAAAAGGAGTAGGAGAACAGTTAGCAGACGATATTTCTCTAATGCGTAAAAGGAAACGTTTTGATAATGAAGATGATTTATGCAAGCGCACAAAATTTCCAAAACTTGCCGTGTCATCGGTTATGTTTAAATGATTTTTCGTTGCATCAAAATTAAAAAAGATAAGTTACTACAAATCATTATTTTTGTTTCTAATTTATTAATGTAATAAATCACGTTCTTACACTTTTCAAAAAAAAAAAAAAAAAAAAAAAAAAAGGAAACAAAGAAATAACATTTTCGAGAGTTATTTGTGATCTAAAGAAATATATCCTCATTTTTTAAAAAAAAATGATACTTCCAGAAGATTGCATTAAAGAAATTTTGGAACACCTTGCGGAAGATAAAAAGTCATTATATACATGTATGTTCGCAAGCAGATTATTTTGTAATTGTCGTACCAATATGATGGAGAGCATATTGTTAATTAAATTTTTTTTATGATTCAATAAAAAATTTAATTTGTGAATATAATACTGCGCATAAAAATTTATTTTATGTATAAATATACAAATTAAAATGTCAATAATTCTTTATTAGTAAGAAAGAAAACCGGTCGACTAATAATATGATATAATAAAATGAAAGTTTAGTGAAAACGAAAAATCAAGTTCGGTAATGTATTCTGCCGACCCATGTACGACCACATAAAGTTTAGTTTGTTGGTGCAAAGTCGGATTTAGAAATTTTGGAATACTAAAATAGAAAGTAAAAAAAAAATTTTTTATTTTTCGTATCAAAGGCTTCTTAACCTACACCCGGGTTTAGCGACGTCACAACATATAAGTGATCTATTTTGTTCAATCATATTTTACATGTATAATTGTATATTTTAAAAAAACCCTTTAAAGTTATAAAAATAAAAAATTTATATAATTTTACATATAATACAAGTTTAGTTGGGGTGGTAAGTCAACTAAGTAAATCAAAGCTATATGTGATACCATATAAAAATTTATTATCGAATTTTCGATTCTTTTAATTAAACTATTATTATTAACTAGTTCGAAGAAAGTTATATTAATGGAGTTTGTTGCGTTTTATTATTAATTGATGCCTCTTATTTGCTTTCTTTAATTGGAACCGGAGTTTATATGATTTGTATATACCCATTATGTCTGTTAAAATTAGTGTACAGCTTTAACCATTCTACCTTTTAAGAAAAATATTATATAAATATCATTGATATAACCTGATAAACAAAGTTACGAAGTCACTTGTTCCATTCAATATAAAGTATCCAATATTTGGTTTTAAAATCAAATTTTAACGAATAGAAGAATTTTAAGTCTGTAAAATGTAGAAATTTACTGGTTAATTTAAATAAATGCTTCATAATTTTTGCAAAGTTCATAAAAACTAGTTAATACCAAAATAATTGGGAGAGAAGTTGTTTTTCGATATGGGCATCTAAAAAAAACATAGAATATCATTTATATATAAGTTTATTATTGATATTATGTTTATCAAATTCTCAAAAAATTTAATTTAAACTCAAAGTTAGATAACACATATACTTTTGATTTACTTAGGTGACTGACCACCCAAAGTTTCGTTGTATCATGGCATTTTCGTTAAAGCCAAAAAAAAATTGACAAAATTTGTAATTAGCTTTGCCACATTATTGACCAATCATATTTAAGAAAATGGAGTTCACCTTACAAAAATATAAGTGGAGCCCTGTAAGTACGACTTTTGGTTTCATGGACAATTTTCCAACTTCATTGCCAGAAAATCTCAAGCTGATACTTTTTGTGTAACACCAATTTACTTTTAAAGAATGTGTTTTCAATTTTAAAAGTTTTATAAATTAGCAAACACTCTTTTCTTCTCTTGACACTTAAAAATAACGTATATGATTATTGATTTTGTAATTCTACCTGTGGCGTTGGGATGCGCTGTCAACATAGTTTAACAAAACTATATTACGCTACCAATAATTAATTTCAGTTGATTGCTCATAAAAGAGTTAGAGTTAACGAATACTGATATTTAATTTGAGTAGTGTTATATAGAGTCCTATAGTAAAACTTACTATTAGAGATTTTTTTTCGTATTAAGCTATTTTATGGTATAATTTAAACTGTTTTATAATAAATTTACTATTAACCAAGTTATATTTCCCTTCTTTAATAACTCTGGATTCTTCTTATAATTTTCATTTCAGATTTTTCGAAAATACTCCAAATATCTGTCTCTTTCACAAAATAGATCGCTTTTTTAAAAAATTCATTAATACTCCGAAATTAATAAATTAAAAACCTTCTAAATAAAATAAAACCTTTTTTTTACGTGAGTTTTGAAAAAAAAGAGGTATTTTATGTTTCTTAAAGTTATCATGTACCCATTCAACTTTACTGCGTTACTTAAGTATAAATCCCGAGGTTAAAATGATCGTCAAAAAATCTCTAATAGTAAGTTTTACTATAGGCTTATATATAGTAAATGCAGTAATTTAAAAAATAGTTGGCTTATCATTTTTTTTTTTTTTCCTTTCATTCTTCCTAGACAATCTTGAGAAAAATACAAGAAAAAAATATATATATATATATATTTTTTTACATATATACAAATAATTGTTAACTTTCAATAAAATAAAATTGAAATTTATAAAATATGACAAAAATATTAAATGATAAAATCAAATTATAATTAAACTATGAAAAGTCAATCCAGATGTTTACCATCCGATGGATCACCTTAGGAATGATCTATTCGGTAATTAAATCACCAAAACCTTAATGTTTAAATCGTTAGCCGAACTATTTCACTAAACAAAAGTATGTTAATCTGGATGATACAAATAGAAAGTCACTAGGACGTCTCTCCCAAATAACTCAGTACTCTTTATAAATGCCGTTATACTTTTAAAAACAAAATTATTTTAATCTTGAAACCATCTTAAAATTAATTTTTCAATATATTATTTGCGTAAAAATTGTGGGTAAATTGATCCTACACTATCTCCACGTGCCAAACTGTCTGTCCCATGACAATACTACGTATTAATTCATCTCTACTGTACAATATCTAATCCAAAACATAGGTTTGATATCGTAAGTTGAGAGAAATGGTGATCATGAAATTTAGAATAATTGTTGGAGCAGCATAAGTAGGAGTGTATGTAACTTTGATGACCATGACAAGCTTTTTCACTGTTTTTAATACACATATTTTTTTTTTTGTTATTTTTATTAAAACCATTAAATTAGTATTGAAATATTATTCGTAATCTAAAAATGTAATTCCGACTCTAGCATGATATCTAGTTAATTCATCTTTATCTATTTCTTCTATATATTGTAAAGTGCGATAAGTTCTTTGTAATAAATCTGATGGAATCAAATGTATATTTTGTGAATGTGAAGCTAAACCACGGAATAAAGAGATTAATAGTACAATGGAGGCTGCAATATATATATATTATATATAAAAGTTAACTTAAATAATTTGATGTTTAATTAACAATAAACAAATTCTACAACCCACCTCTCCTAACTTCGACTTCCTTTTGAATATCCAAAATATTTAAAGTCCAATCAACAACATCCCGAAACCATGTTGTTAGGGCTAATGGAGATGTTTCACAAGCAAATCCAATTATACTCAATGCAGATACACGTAAGTCTACGTTTTGATCTTTGTTCAGAACATTTAAAAGTGGTGGAAGAATGATTGCAACTGTAATAATAAATACGTGTAATTAAAGGTTTTAATAATGACAACAATAATAAAAGCCACATTAATTATAAAATTAACTCGTGTATAACTCACTATATTTTCCAAGTGCTTCTCCACATCTTCGAATGGTTTGTAATATTGCTTCCCCGATGCGTAATCGATTGTCAATATTTTGTTTGTCATTCGAGTAAATTACCATGAGTTTTCGCATGATCTTTTCTCCATGAACGTCTGTTAATGAGGATAACCCTTTGACAGCATTTAAATAAATAAAGCTATTGATAAAATATATATTATTATTATTAAAAGAACTACATATTATTCAATAATCATCATGCATACTTAAATTAATTAATTAAATTGTTTAAAATAAAATACCTTTCTTCATCTTGAACCATTTGTATAAAGATATCCAATACTCTATTTAAATTCACAACTTCATCCATCAACGGATCCTTTTCAAGAATCATTTCCTTAAGCATTAAAATTCCGCGAGCTTTTATAGGTAAAATCTCATCTTGTAATGCATCCATGGCTTCTTGGTATTTTTTTAGTGATTCTTGTCGTCTAATAGATTCTTCCGAATCATTTTTAAAAGATGAAACTTTAGAGGCATTACGTGCTGAAACAGTTAAACGAATATTACGGGTTAATGATTGGATTGAAGGTGATGAATGATTTTGAAGAAGTTCCAGGTTATCAAAAAATGAATCCTGAATTGAAAGATTTTTATGTTCTATTATCATGAAGCATTGATAGATTAGAAATTTGATTTTAAAACAGTGATTAGTAAAAAAAAAATTTAAAATTAACAAATAAATATCAAGAATATGACTTCCTTACCTTCCAATAGAGATGATAGAAGTGTTAATGCTAGATACAATAACTCGTCGTGATCATTTACCTCGGAAGAGACTTCATCACTACTATCTTCATCCTTAACAATGTTACTCAAGTCATCCAATATACAAGAACGTGTACTTTCTTTTCGTTCCTCCCGGTTAGCATCCTTTCGATGATAACCCTCGAGCACGTTATTAACAAATGCAACCATTTGTTCAGGTTTTTGTAAAATGGAAGAACCAAGGCAATCGATCATCGCCAAAACGAGATGGAGTAATGTAAGAATTCTGTAATAAATATATATATAATATCAATATTTGAACAAATATATAAATAATAGGTATAATTTTGCGTCGATGATTTGAGCGAGTCACAAACCGTCTTGAATCTCCTTTGTATAAAGAATGCTGTTGAGCTAATGAATAAGTATATTCTGTAAGTAAATACATAAAGAAATCTCCAGATAATTCTTTATTTGCGATTACTTTTAGGAAATTTATAAAAATTTCAACGTCTATTGAAGTTTTCGTATCTGATAAATTCAATGCATTTCTATAAATACAAAGAAAATATGAGAATATCCTTTGTAAAAAAAAACTCTCAAAGCATAATAGAACTTACAATCGCAATCTCATTACTGCACCACCAGAAGATCCGGGAGAAAAATATGCTTCGCATACTTCTCCAAACTCCGGAGCTTTCCATTTTTTATTTTTCCTAAATACAATTTCCTTCAATGTTTCGGTAGCTTCACTTACTGATACAATTCTAAAATAAGATAATAATATATCTAATATAATATCTTTCAAATAAGATTTTGAAGAACAAGTAAAGGCATATAGATGATATAAAGGCGCTACTGCATCCTCCAAAAACATGTGTATCAAATCAGGTACAGGTTCACTGCCAACCAGGATTCGATGTATTACAGTTATAGTGGATTGTAATGTTTGTTCATCCATGATCAATGGGTCAAGTTCAGAGGATGTAGTAAAATTGTTTTGAACAATTTTTCTGTGCTCTTCCGAAGTGATGCCCCACCATTTCCATAGTGGACCAAAAATTTTTAATATTATGAACTTTTTGGTCAACGTTGGATATTTGTTAGCCATCCTTACAATGGTAAACGAAGAAACATTGGCAATTGGTGGTATCGAATTTCCCGAAGAATTTGAAATCGATTGAACTAAAGAAAGTAATTGGGGACATATTACTGAAAAATATTGCTATAAAATAAAAAAAAAACAAATTACAGTATTAATAATATAAAATGATGCCAGTCATAAAATACATCGAAAAAGTTTAAAGACATACTTCTGTGGATTTTACTTGATTTGGAACAGATAATATTAATTTGGAAATTGTCTCCAATTTAGTTAAGTTAACTATTAATATAAAAAAAAAGGTTTAATCATTTTCGACAATAAGAGATGAACTTCAAATTTAATGATGTAATAATAACCTTCGCCTTCGCCCCCAATCATAAAATCTATAACATCCCTTATTCCATTCGGACGTAACAAAATTTGTGATAAAAATCGACCACATACACTTTTAAACCATTTGGCCGATTGGTGAAGCGGAGAGGAACTCAATAACATGATCAAAGCTTCCAGAGATTGAAAAGAATCAGCACTAAAATAAATTTTTAGATGAACTGAGAAGTTGATAATAACTATTCATAATGTGATAATATGACTTACCTCTCGAAAACTTTTCGAACCATTCCTATACTCTCTTTGTGCATCCTCTCAATTTCACCTTCATCCAAACCTTTTGTCGCCTCCTCCGAAGTTATAGAATTCACAAGAATTTGTTCGACATTATTGTCGTTACTTTGAGGGGGGGTCGCAACGGGTTTTCTTTTTGATAAAGGTCCATAAGCTAATTGTAACAACGCCGCGTATACATCCGCAAGATACTTTGAGAATAAAATAGATGACACGGATGTATACATCCTCGGTTTACTTAATTCAATAAACATAATATTTGTTAATGATTTCATTAAATTATATAATTGACTGTATAATGAAAATGATGTTTTTTTATTTTTGATCATTTTTTCCACTGTTGATAAATCTTGCAAAAGTTCTAAAAATGTGTGAAGTAGTTTAATGAATAATTTTGAAATTATAAATAATTGCCAAAATCATAAATCAATAATACTTTTAAACCTCAGAATGTTAGAAATTTATACCATTCTGAATATATCCTGATCTGGTCCTCCTTGAGAGTGGAACACCAACGCCTGATAATAAACAAGGATAAACTCCCCAAGTTATAACTATCTCTAACATTGTATGAATAAGCCTTAGATCTCTAACACCTAAGAATTCGGGTTCTTTTTCTAGCGACTTGGTATTTTCAGTTTGTTTTTGGTCTTTTTTTTTTTTTTAATAGAATATTAGTTAATTAATTCCATAAAATTCGAATTAATCAATTTGTTTTCCAATACCTTTAAGATCATTAATATTTGTAAGGGTACATTGTAACAGTTCCAAAGTTTCCAGACATTTTGCCACGAAGAGTTCTCGCACAATATCTTCGTCAAGAATAGAATTTCTGATTTGAAGCTTTCGTTCTAATTGCTTTGCTGCTGAAATTTCAGCTAAATCAAGTTCGTTTTTCGGCGAATCATGTATAAAAGATTCGAAATTATCTAATCTAATTCTTAGCCTCTCATGAATTGAACATGCTAAATAATAATCAATCATAAGCGAAAAATAAAGGAATATGGAAAAATGAAAATTCCGTAATAAAGTAATTACCTTTACTCTCTTCTTGTGTATTTCCTACTAAAATATGAGCTTGATGTAATAAGTCAAGAAACTTATTATCAAGAATCTTTAGATCCATTTTCAATGAATCGGTTCGTGCACTTTCGCGACCTGAACTCGTGAGCAGGGACGATGATTTATGGCATTTCACAATATATCACAAAAGTCACAAAATTTTGTGATAAATACAAAATTTAACTTCACGGCCACATAATTTCACAAATTTGATCCTTTGTGTATATATATGCACATAATTCCACATAATTTCCACATAATTTTCATATAATTTCCCACATAATTTCACATAATTTCACATAATTCCATAATTTCAGATTACTGTCAAATTTGATATTAATTTCTCGGGTCAAATTACGATTTATTGTAATGAAATTATATAAAATTATCACATAATATCACAAAATCCTATAAAAAGCTCACAAAATTACACAAAATTTATAAAAAGTAAGATCACAACACAACACAAAATCCACTTTTATCACACACAAAATTTGTCTTACATCACCACAAAAAATCATCGTCCCTGCTCCGGACTAATCAGAGATAAAGCGTTGCCGGAGCAACTGATACAAAAATTGCATAAAAATTTCTAATTATTGGGCGTCTTTTCTAATGTATTTCGGCTAGTAATGGCTTTTGAACCCTTTCGATAAAATAAGTCTATATGAACAATAAAGTACAGCCATAACGTTATAACTACTCACCTAGGTCCCCTAATTTCTATATTACCGAGAATAAGCACCTCTTAAAAAAAACCTATAAAAAAAATTTTTTAATTCAATATACTAATTAATGTATTACATTTATTAATAAATTTATTAAAATAAATTATAAATGTAAATTTTATAATAGAACAATTATACTGTAAATTTATTATTAAATCCTAATATTAATTAACATATTTTATCATTATAATTATTCATTGCTACTGTTATCATCACAAACATTATCATCACAATAATCATCATCAATATCCGAGATTTCTAATTCTTCATTTTCATTATCTAATGAATCTGTTATATTACAGCTTACAAAAGAATTGATAATAATTTCATCAGATATCTTATCCCATGAATGTTTTATCCAATTACAAACATCACTATATTTAGCATGTTTAAGATTTCCAGCAGCAGTTTTTCCAGCACCACCATCTGCCATCCATAAATGCCATTCTTTGTGAAGGTTGTCCTTGAATGGTTTGTTAATACCAACATCAAGTGGTTGACAAATACTGGTCAAACCACCTGGAATAACCGCCAAGTATCATAAAACTTTTTTTTAATAGATTCTTCAAGATGTCCTCTGAATGAATTATAAACAAGCATAGTTGGATTTTCAGATCAATTATTATTAAAATAATCAATATATTTTATTATCAATTCAGTATTCATCCAACCATTTTCTTGGAACCAAACCACTACACCAGATGGAATTTGTTCATTGCGTCCTATTCTTTTTCCTTTAAAAATACATATAGATGGTAGTTTAGCTCTATCTATATAAATAAAAAAGCATTAGAGTAGTTTTATAAATAATTTTAATTTAAAATATAATTTATTTAGTATTCTTACCAGCAGCACAGGTTAAAACAACGGTAAAACAATTTTTTTCATTACCTGTCCCTCGAATATGAACCAATCAGATTAACACTAAAATAATCAGCCATATTAAATCATACTGGGGTCTCATCCATATTAAAGATATGGCATATTTTATAATCGTATATATAAACATTAGCATAGAAAAAAAAATTGTCATGTATCATAGGCTACGTCCTGAACCTTTGTATTTATTTTTAGCATGTATTAATAAAAATTTTCTTGGCAAATATCAGCAATAGCCTGTCGTCCAAAAACATGTAATATATTTTTTATTTGGATTGTTAAGCATGCTGAGCAGTATATAAAATTTATGTACACATATAATTTTTTTCAGATTTTATATACTGATGCTGATTCTAAGACTATGCATTAGCTGAACTCTGGTTATTGACAAACTGTGACAAAATATCACAATCATTTTACTGTCCGAAAAAAAGACAAAGTTTTGCACAGCCACAATTAATAAAAATTTTTACACGTTGTTATACGAGTCGATTGCGAAGTCTACCGACTGAAAAATAGACTTCAACGCGTATAGCAACGTTTTAGGTATCTGA